TTGTAAAAAACTTAAACATTAATCATATAGACATATATATATATATATATTCAATGAAAGGCATGATAGATATATTCAATGAAAAGTATGATAGATATGAAGAAAAGCAAAGATGTTTTCTAAACTCATATTTCTTTCTGTCTGAACACACTCCTTGATCCTTTCTTCCTGGCCTCCCGTCCTCTCCCTTCATCTGGCTGGGTTACTTTTCTCATTGTAGACGGTATGTGAGCATTTTTATGTGAGGAGCAGGTTAGACACCATTTCAGTTCACATGGAAGCCACTCGACTGAGTCATTGTGGGGTACAGAACAGCCACAGCCATGTAAGCGAGTGGGTGTGGCTGTCATAACGCTCCGTGTATAAAACAGAAGGATTGCTGAGTTCTGCTGGAGAGTAATGTGCTTGCTCCATCATCCCTGTCCCTCCCAACCTACCCCAGGCTTTTATCTTTCATTCTTGTCTGCAGTGAGGTGGATGATCTAAATGCCTCATCTTTCACAATGAGATTGGTGGCCCAAACACCCGGTTCTCTTGTTCCCTTCACACAATGGCCTGAAATGTAGGCTGGAGCTTTTATATAAATAATACTTTGAAATGCCACCTGAAAGCTACATTGGCATGTTAAAGGATTACCGAGGGGAGATTGGCTAGTGGTGATAAAGAATCAGATCAGATTCCCCTTTATGTCTAGAACAAAGGTAAATATAAGGCACAGATATTAGAGTTATAGCAAGATAGCCTAGTATATTAGCACAAAGGAGGCAGAGTGAGGAAGATGATGGATGGCAAATGAGGCCAGCCTAGCATTCCAGGCCAGCCAGGATCACATAGAAAATCCTTTCATCCAAAAAGCCAAGTGAGGAGAGAAGAGAAGACAGGGAGTGGACAGAAAGGAGAGAAGGAAGTAGTAGCATATCCTCCTGGAAAGACCAGATTGCTAAGCCACAGTCTAACGCTCTCTCGTCAGCAGTGTCCTGGACTGTGGCTACCATCCTCCCACCAGAGCTGACTGGTTTCTTGGTCTTCTGCTTACTTGGTTATCAAAACATGTGGAAGGTCAGCCCCATTGT